TCTTAAGTGATCCAATCGAGCTACCATACATGTGATAGTAGAATGTCATACACAAGTCTCCATCGTAATTTCCACTGAAGGTAAGTCTTGCATTGTCTCCTGATACACGAGGACTCGAAGTCTCGATGTATGCATACTTTCCTAAAATAAATATTCAGGTGATTAATAAACGTTTGGTAAAAAATTAAACGCCATTTACTTCGGCAAAAGAAAGTAAAGACCAACCAACAATGGCTCAGCTTGTTCTCAGTACTCACCTGATCCAGAATGGTCAGCGCATGCTCCTGTTGCTGATGATGACGTACATCCAGAATGAAGTGTCCAATCAAATTTGTCATTTGTTGCTTGTCTCCAGGCCCCCAAAGTGTTGAAATCGGTGTTCATGCCTAAATGAATAGTTTTGCTCATTATTGTAACAATGATAAGTGCACAGAGATTTGAGCAGGTTCCAGTGTAGTTTTCTTCTATTTTGTTTTATTCTTTAGATTCTTTAACGTGGTTTCAGCATCAGAGAACATCAACAGATATGGGATTGCAATTTTGTGTTCAAAGTTTTAAGAGAACGGAAGAAAAGCTTCTTAGTTCAAGCAAATTGTAAGCTTACCTTGACTCGGTGGTTGGGTAGGTGGTTGTGGTGTAGGTGGCTGAGTTGGTGGCTGAGTTGGTGGTTGAGTGCCTTTGAAACGAAAAGCTACATGTTAACCTTTTCCAAGTGCAATTTTGGGTTTGAAAATCAAAATAGAAAATAATAATAAAACTGACGTTTTTCATATTAGGATTCTTACATGGAAAAGCATTAATCGGCCAGTTTGTGTAGGTGCATGCTAAAAGGATGTTAATGGCATTTGGGTCTTCTAACAAGCGATCCTAACTCCCTTACATCATCATCATGAAGTGAAACGCATAGAAAACCAACCTTCTGATGCGGAAGACAACTTTTTTACCGGTMGACTTTCTAAGTACTTTACAAAATTGCAAAGATTATGCAAAATAACTATCACAAAGTGCTCTAAATACAGCTTGATACTGAAACTAGGGGGAAAAAGTTAGCGCATACGTGCCTCTAGGCCTTTTTTCTACGAATTTTAGTGAGGAAATAAACGTTTTCTCCGAGCATACAAACAATATCGCGAGTATACTTTTGTGACACCAAGATACTGTATTAACAAATTATGAAAGAACTAGCCATATGTTTCCGCAAGCACTGACTCTAAGTTTTGAGATTTTGTAAAGTCTACTTTTCAGACATGTTTGAGAGTCAAGTTATTCATTTTGTGTGTGTGTGTGTGTGTGTGTGTGTGTAGACACTCGAGTTTACCCGGATATACTTCATATCTTATCTAACTAGCGAAAAAATATAGTTAAATGACATGTCATAGAACTGACATAAAGTTCATCCCGGTGTAAGTAATGTAAAACTTCGGATTACTTTCGGATCCCACGTGCACAGCTAGCGACGCATGGCGAGGATAGCCGATGTTATCCGAAGTTCCGCGTACTGGCTAGTCAACTTGGCTGCTCTGTTTGCGACTGCTTACGACTTTTTATCGACCGGGAAACGTTGGACCAACGTTCCAAACCATGACTCGGCAGGATTCAGTGATTTCTACAAGTTAACGCAGTCAGTTTTGTCATGAATTTTATCTGGATTTTTTTTGCAACAAGCTAGGCACACAGGTTTCATCGAATGTGTCAATTGTTGTTTAATTAAAGTGCTTTCAGGTATTTGCAATATCTAGAAAGAATTTATCGCAAAAGAAGACCACTGAATTGGAGTGTTTGTGCTACGCGAAGCATGTCAACAATGTAGCTTCATGAACGATTGTTACAGAACCTGCGATGCGATTACAATGATAATATTTGAGCCCTTTAAAGGGATAACTGATCTCCGTTAGGAGAATATTAAGCCCTAAATACCTGCAAGTGAATATTTTGCATATGCATGATTCAAAAATGTTG